TACRTSTACATATCAAAGGTTACGATGAGTTCRTCTGTGGCGAATGCTCCCCGGCAGAACGATGCCCTACTCCAAGGTCCAAAAGACGATAACATAGTCGGTGGTTGGACCCCAATCGAGAATGTCGAGGAGAATTCATACGTGCAAGAGATCGGAAGGTTCGCAGTGATGGAGCACAACAAGCAAACAGGGAACCATCTAAAGTTCTTGAAGGTGACGAAAGGTTGGAGTCAAGTGGTGGCTGGAACTAATTACCGTCTCATTTTGGAGGCAGTAAATATGGCTGGGATGATTTGGAATTATGAGGCTGTGGTGTGGGATAAGCCATGGGAGCACTCCTGGACGCTCATATCATTTATTCCTCTCCTCAAGAACTGATATAAAGCTATGAATAATGGGAGTCTAATCAAGATGAAAGCTATCTATGAAAAGCTATGAATAATGAGAGAATAACATAAAAGTTATATATATCTATGTCTAATATTTCGCATTGTCTTTATATATGATTGATGTGAGAATAAAATAAGAGTTATCTATGTGCTTACCGCTTAATATTGTGTTTGGTTTTTAATTTGGGTATGTTTTTCCACTGCCATAAACATGGGCTTGACAATTAAAAATTGTGATTAACTGAATTTGTGTGGTTTATAACTGTGTCATGGGTTGAAGCATTAAAAAAAAAGAGAGACAGACATATGATTATGTTTAATAATTATTTTTTGTTTTTGTTTGATAACAGTGGTAGGTTTTTTACTTTTAAAAAATTAGAGAGTTCAAGAGATATATTAGAGAGAGAAAAATATGTGAAATAGAAATGACAACAATATGGGGCCAGAATGGGGCATACCCTCCCATCATGGTCCGAGTGGAAATTTTTAGTCCCTGTTCCCACATAATATTTCGATTTTTAGAATCGAGGTCAAGTCGAGGAATTCTTATTTTGGGACGGGATTGTCGTGCTAAAAATTATCAGTTTAGTAATTAGATTTAATTATTTTCAAATTTTAATAAATAAAAGAGTAATAAATATATAAAAACTATTATTTACTATTATAAATAATTAGTTTTAAAAATATTTAGTATTTAATTCTTAATTGAGTAAAATAGTTAATAAAATAAATATTTATTATTTAAAAAATAAAATTTGGGATGGGTCGGGACAAGGTGGAAAATGCATTCCCTACCCCTAGAGTGGGTATCCTACCTGTTGGAATTATGGAGCCAAATCGATGTTGGAATAAGTCGTCAGCAACCATTTCTCGTGGATATTTGTGTTGGGATTTTTAATATGTAGTCGATAACTTTCTGCAAGAAATAAAAACACAAGCACACAATAGAAAGGCAGAGACACCAAGATTTACATGGAAAAACCCCTCAGTGTAAGGGGAAAAACCACGCGACAGCTCCGAAAATCATCCACTATAAAAATAATGGGTTACACAAAGTTTATTCCTAGTCGCAACTAGAGGATACAACAAAATACATCAGACAAGAGCCTGGCCAACAATTGATACACAAAAATCCTTCATCTACCAAAGATGGAATAAAAAACAAGTAAGGAAAGGTCTCACCGGTGAAGACGGCACGAAGAAACTCAAACGAGGGAGAAGCAACTAAATCAACAACGAGCCAGCAAACAAACCAACTTCTTCTTCTTCTTCGGCTCTTGCAC